CAATGGTAATGTTTATCACCTCTACTAATTAACATGATGTAAATTTCCATACTTCCTCCTCAAATATAATACTTTTTAAATTTGTTGATTCTGTGTGTGTATGTGTGTATCACACAGAACATCCCAAACCATCTCATTCAACTATACACTCACTTTCCAGATGGCACCCTCCCATAGCCTACCTCCCCCCACTAGAGCCCCTATACTCTGATATCCCTGCTACTGTCTGCTGTGATGTCATCACCCCAACTATTCCCCACTACTTGTCCATCTGGTGAATCTAGTCAGCTTATCTAGAGGTCTTTGTTTTAGGAAGGTCAGCTGTTTCTCATCTAGCAGCAATCAGTTGTCAATATTCCTTTAGATAAGATTGGGGTCTGCTGTTCATTTTCCCAGTTCTGTGCTGGGTTACTATCTGGGAGTCCCTTTGGCCACCCTGGCCAACAACTCAAAAGAAGGTATCTCCTATCTGACACTGTTGCTTGTTATGTAGCCTTTAGCTATGCATATGGACTCTTAAAAAATTATATTGGTCCCTTTAATGTTTGGTTATACTTTCCTTTTGGGTGTTTAAGGCCATACGGTTGAGCCAGATAAACCTCAGGGGTCACATGGGCTTGGGAGGAGCCCCTGGCTCCTTTCTTTTACCAGTTCCGCCTATGTGAAGATAAGTCAAAGGTCCTGCTCGACCCTGGCTGGCTTCGCTTGAAAGCATGGAGGAAGTGATTCCTCTGTGTTGACCCTCCTCTTTGTAGACTGGACACCAGTTCAAGTCCATCTGGTGGGGTCTCCTAGGCCTCCTTGATCAATAGGACAGGTACATACTTCAGGAAGCATCTACATTTTGAGAGATGCTCATAGTCCCCTGAAGAATATTTCATGAGTGTTTGTTACTGTCCTTTGGTGACTGCTTGGAGGAAACTCGGCACAGGATGGATATATCAGGTGAATAAGGACAGATGAGAAACAGAATCCAGAATAGATTTCAATGCTGCTCTGAGAAGATCAGCAGGAGGGGACTCATGAGTAGACAGTACATGAATATGAGCTCACAGGTATGTGTATCTGTACATGGTACATATAGATGTATATATATATATATATTATTTATCTGCGTCTACAGCACAATGGTTAAGCACTTGCTTAACATGCAGCAGGTCTTGGATTCAATTCTCTGTACCACCAAAAAGATTACATTATTTATATTCATATATTTCTGTTTAAATGACATGTTAAAAATGGCCAAGAATATTTTATATATGAATATTTGTTCATGAAGATGAGTATTTTCAATTGACAAATTTCAATTACTTTAAATTTTCAGCTCTCCCTCTGTGCCTCTTCGTCTCAGTCATCCACATCCATACAGGAAGTTGAGGCTCATTAGAAGAGTGTGTTCTACAGAGCTTCCTACTCTGACTTGCCTATAGGCTGTTTTTCTTCACATTAACTACCTAAAAAGAGAGAAGTTGGACGAATGGAAGTTAATTTTTCCCTTCAAGTCACATAAAAGACATAAAAAGTCTTCTAAAACTCTGTAGAAGTTTCTACATGATTTTCAAACAAACGGGTTAAAATTTAATCTCAATGACAGGAACAAGGATGTCAAATGGGGCAGCGCCTCACCCCCTTACAGGATAATTCCATTTAAACTCTCCTTATATGTGACTATGTACACACTTCAGGAAGCATCTACACCAGTAGATTGCCCTATGACTTTTTAAGCCCAATGACAGGAATGAGTTACCTCTTTTAGAACTGTCCAGTGGATTTCCACAGACCCCCAAACAATGCAGGCTATTGCTTGCTTTTGGGTATCCCCAAGAATTTGATAGTAAGACCCTATTTTTTAAAACCATGACATAATTGCATCACAGAACATGGTGAAATCAGTCAAACTGTTTCTGACCTTTACATTTCATACCAAGGAATTATCTTTTACAGTGCTGAAGGCGCTATGCACGTTACCAGGAGAAAAAGTAATCATCGGTCTTACACAGCTGTGAACACTGTGAGGTACAATAACCACTGTCTTGGCAATATATTCCCACTGGTCTAACAGTGGCATGGATATTATGGGAGCAACCAATCACCTTCTGATTGGATTTAGAGACTGTTCCACAAGATGGAGTCCATATCTGCCACTGTTACGAGGGCCAAGAACCCGTGGTGAGACAGGTCATCGCGCATAGGCGATGACATGCTGTGTGCTCAATGGACACAGTATTAAACCTCCTCTTAATAACTTATCATTATATATGCATATTAGTACATCTCTTAACCTTCATCAGAAAGGTGTTCTAGTTGGTTGTTTGTTGTAGATGGCAATTACCCCAGAGACCCACAACTGGTCAAGGTGCAGAGAATAAGAGACTGGAGTGCTCAGCCCTAAATGGGACACCTGTATCATACTTCCAAGGCTCAGGGATCATTGAGAAAAAGGGGGAGATATCCAGAGGAGGCTGATGACTACGAGGTAGTAGTGTTTCTCAGATGCTGTAACAGGCAGTTGCACTTTTCAACAAACAACAATTCTGACAGCTTGCACCAGACCTGTGTGAGCTCAAACGCAAGCCAGATAAAACCCCAGCATGAAAGGGGTGGTGAGCCTGATCCCTACCCCCAACTAAGAGAGTACTAGAAATTGATAGTTACTGAGAGAGGGAGAGTCAGTTTCCTTCAAGAGTGTGACCTCTGTTAGGTTA